GCAACTGTGGATTTGTAACTGGTTGAGCCCAAGAGTGCTCAACAACAGTTCTTCATCCTGGAGGAAAATCACAAATGGATTTGACTGAAGGTGAAGTCTAAAGTTTATTACTTGGGATCATCAATTTATTTAATTTATGTTAGATAGAATTGTTTATGTTTTGTTAGGTTTTACTGCATTTTATCATTGATATGAAGTAGTTTATCATTGTGTATATTATATGTATTGTTTTTGTGCTGTGTGCAGTTCTGCATCTCTGTGGAGAGAAGGCAGAATATAAATTAAAATAACACGCACGCACGCACGCACGCACGCACACATACATACATACATACATACATACATACATACATACATACATACATACATACATACATACATACATACATACATACATACATACATACATACATACATACATACATACATACATACATACATACATACATACATACATACATACATACATACATACATACATACATGAAGAGTTTCACAGGCCATTTTGGAGCCCTCTGCTTTCCTATATGCCTCATTCAAGAGTCAGGTATAAATGGTAGATACTAGCCCCATCGTGTCAGCAGATGGGGAGATGCATTGTTCTTTCAAGGGAGTTGAACAGTGGGAAATTCCTCTTTTTGCACAATTGGGCCAGCAGATGTGATTATCTGATAAGTTTACTTCCTGGTCAGTCTCCTACCATGTATCAGATCTTCATCTGGGCAAGGAAAATTAATATGGTTGAGAAAAGGGAGGAGAAGTAAAGGTGAAATGGGCAAAATTCATTGCCTAGTCACACTGAAATCACGCTGTGGAAGTTTCAGCTTGATTATTCATTGATCAAACAGATTTCCTGCCCTGTTTCCCTGAAAATAAGACCTAACCTGAAAATAAGTCCTAGTATGATTTTTCAGGATGCTCGTAATATAAGCCCTGCCCCAAAAAGGCTCTAGCTGTTGGAGGGGCCTCGGACCTCGAACAGCATAGCTGGCTTTTGCCAACCACCCAGGATATTGCGAGACGGAGTACTGCCTCGTGACTCACGAGTAGGAGGGGAAAGCCAGCTACTTAAGGAGCTTTCCCCTCTAGGACCGCCCTCTTCTTTTCGGTCAGGAAAAGTGCCTGAGTTGGGAAGATGCGCTGGGCCACTTCAGGACCAACAGCCCTTGATTAAAGGGGGCTTGAGGTCTGGGGGTGTTGATTAGCGGCTGGCCGGGTTCCTGCTGTCCTTAAAATCACTGGAAACTGGAGCCGGGGATTCGCCCTTTCATTAATCCCATCAATTAACTGTTTCCGCACTACAGCAGGTCCCCTCCTTTTTGAAAAAAGAATGCTTGAATTTTGGATATGATTGTATATTAATAAAGTGTGGCCTATATTTAACCCATATTACTGCCTCACGTTTTATTCCAGGTTTGGGAGGGCAATAAGCCCTAGTTAAGTGAAACCCCACCCTCCACCATTGTGCAGCAACCAGAAGATGACATGACTGTATTTGAATAAATATAGACTGCTGTACATGAAAAAAACATTCCCCTGAAAATAAGCCTTACTGCATTTTTTGAGCAAAAATTAATATAAGACTCTGTCTTATTTCCAGGGAAACATGGTATTTGTGGGAGAACATCCTATTTTGTTCAGATCTCTTGCTGCTGATTCAGTGAGCCAAGACATCATCCCTAATAAATGTAACAAGCTGTTTAATTTGGAATGCCTGGAAGAAAAATTTAAGACTTCTGACTCAGTGAGCTGGAGCAGTTTGATTCCTCACTGTGCCCTATAGGAGAACAGCAGGTTTGGGGCAATCTGCTCAGTCCTAGAGTACACACACACACCCCTGAAGAAGGGAATGGTAACCCACATCTTACTACAGTACTTTGTACCTAGTAAACATAGGAAGTGTTACCATAAACTCAGATTGATGGCACATTGTTGTTTTGTTTTTGTAGCTAAAACTGCAGGCTAGAGATGCCCAAATCTCCATTGGCAGTAATTCTACAATAAGTAGCGTTGTTCAATTGTTGCTCTTTAGCCCCAGGAATGGATCTTTTTATTAGCATCTGCCTCCTAGAAAAAGTGTGGAGATGGATCCAAAGCAGAAAAGCAATTTGGGAACCCAAACCAATTTGATTAGGGCTATTTTCCCCAACATTGATCGTTTAATTGACTTCCACTCCACTAACTTCCTTTCAAAATAACTCTTTGGCAATAAAAGCTGTTTGACAATGGAATGAACTACCTTCTGAGGATGGTCGACTCTGCTCCATTAGAAGTTTTTAAACAGAGGTGAAAGAGCCACTAGCGGGGGATGCTTTAGCTCTGGGTTTCCTGCTTTGGCACAAGGTTGAAGAACACTTGGATTCTCTTTCAACTCTGTAGCTCTAAGATTCTGTGAATCTTTGCTTGAGACATCAAGGAAAGAAAGGAAATGCTTTTATTTTCTAACAGTCCCAGAAAAATGCTGATGCTGATGGGGGAGCAGTGGGGAGGTTGCACCCTGCCAATCAGTGGGGAGAGCTAAGTGTGTGTGTTACTACTTGAGATCTCTTTATAGGAACTAATCATTGGAAGATGATTTTTTATCTTTCCTGAGGGTGCAAGCAGGGAAAATGCAGTTTGATCTATTGTGTTTTGGCAGTTTATCAAGTTTGGTTTCCTCAGGTGAATTGCTGTAGCTGTCCAGATGATAATTATCAGAAGTCAGCAGGGCAGAAGGAGAGAGCTCAGTTTGCATGGAGATCCAACAGCAGAAGCTGCTCAACCGAGGGGAACTGACACCCACAGAAAGCAAACAAAACTGGAGTCAATCCAGTTGGAATAAATTTAAATTACCACTACCATCTGAAGAAAAACAGATGTTTCCCCACTTAGACAATAAGTTTACACAATGGACTTTCACACATAGAACTTTATGTCATGTAGTCACTGGGTTTTTCCATTCAAATTATTCAGTGCCCAATCCAACATAAATTACACAGTAAAGGGCCAATGTAGTTGTTCCTGAACGAAGGAGCCATTGAAGTTTAGAAGTGATAATCTGCAATTCAGCTGAAGTGAGAAGGATTATCATATCATCAAGCTGATGGGGTTTCATCTGGATTTTAAGCATGGCATCTGATGCTGTTTAGACCATTGGCTGACTTGAATTTCAAAATTTCACAACAGGAAGTCTCTAGCTGTAGGGAACCAGAGGAAGAAGGCACAACAGTGATTGGTAAAGTTACTTTTTTGGACTACAGTCCCAGGGTTCCACAGCTAATGTGACTGATGATTATTCTGGTTTAATGATTCCGCATGGTGTAGATCAAAAAATAAAAATTTTCAAGCCCTGCTATGACTCCCATTCCTTATTGAAATATAAATAGACAACAGTGACACTAATCGAGAACTACTTGCAAGGTGAGGAGTTAGGAAGAATTTACACTGAAGAGAAGTGAAAGCAAAATATGAGAGGTGCCACACTAAACTGTCATTTGCTTTGAGAAAGGTGTAAAAAGCAAAAAATAAAATAAAAGGTAACATTTTCCAGTTATATTATTGAATGTTTTCAAAAATATTATGTGTCTGAAGGAAATCACACCTTGTTGTCCTTCCCAATCTTTGCAGTGCAGTTTGTGTTCATTTTTTCCATTTTATTTTTTGTGCAAATCAGGATGTAATGTGTGGCACTCCTGGGCATTCTCGTGGATATCACTGGGGTTATGATAGGAAACTGATCACACACACACACAAAAAAACAGCCATCTTGAGAGAACATTACCATAGGACTTTCTGTGTGGCAAAATAGCATTTTTTTTTATTTATATAGGCCAGCAATGAACACATGTGCTTTGCATGGCTCCTCCTCTCCATTTTATCCCCCAAATAATATGGTAAGATGGGTTTGGGCGAGAGATAGTGATTAGTCCAAGGATGTCCAGTAGGCTTGCAGATTAGTATGGATTTGAACATGAATCTCCCTTTCAAGTCCAAATTATAATCAATACATCATAGTAGCACCCTCAGATCAGTAAAACATATGGGTAGACAAATGTTGCAACAAATAATGTGTTTAATTTGTATAATGGGAAAATTACGTAATATGCAAATTAAGCTCTGTGGATTTGAAGAAGCAGAATATGACATCCTTAATGGTGAAGGAAAAGCATATGTTTCTGTGGGGATTTTTCCCAAAATGCTCCCTTGCCTTTTTAGCCCCATACTGCAAAGGCAAGGGAGGCATATAGCGTTCAGGAAGGTGGGGATGGGGGGTAGAAAATGAAAACACTGTCTGAGCAATGCTAGAAGAAAGAACTATAAAGCTGGGGCTTCCCTGCCCCCCACCACCTCATTTTCCTTTTCTCTTTTGTCACTGTGACAATGTTCTCAGTTTTTGACATCACACAGCAAACCTCACTAGTCTCTTATTGTCTCGTAAGTTCTGTATCTGATAGCAGTTAAGTTGTCACCTGAAATCACAGAGTCTGGTTCCCCTACTCTGCTTCCCATGAAGAGACTCTAAAATCAATGTGCCTAAGGTGATCTTTTTATGTAATGAACCTCTGTGACTTCAGAGTTGCTGGGCAGATTTCCTATGGAATCGCGTACATCAAATGGTCCTGTGCACAGCATTATTTCAGGCCCTCTAGTACTTATCGTAAGTAACAGCAGTAGTGAATTTTACCCCTCATAGTGTGATGGATAGTGTAGCACTCTAGGTATATAGAGGAATAGAAGGAAATAAGTAAATGTGGGTTATGTTTTCTGACAGCTATTTAATTTTTCTTTGATATTTCTGGAACAAATGCTTTGCTTTCTGAGTTTAGCTCAAAGGGTTTAGCTTCAAACATTCAGCAAATGAAGCAGACACTTTTAAAACAGGACAAATTAACCACATAAAAAGTTATAAACTACCATTTATTTTCAACAAGACTATAACATGTATGCATATATAAATCTAAAACAACAGGAATTTAACATGTATATATACAAACTTCAATATTTACTCAATCCAACTATAAACCATGAGTTCTGATGAGTAATTTGTAGGGCACAACACATAAGTCATTTCAGGGGTTTTAATTAAGAAGGCATTGTGACAATTACAGATGATCAGAGTCACCTTTACCACTTTGGAGAGCGGCAAAAAATTTGTCTATATTTTGGATGGAAGCCACCATATTTGTTAATTCAGTTCTGATAATATGCAGCTCCCGTGCCACACTACAGAAGTCTCCCCTCAGTCCACATACTGTATTTTTAATCTCTTCCAACATAGCCATGCCTTTTTGTTCAGCACTCATGTAAACAAGTTCTTCCCCTAAAGGTTTTGTTATAGAAGGTGTAACAGGATTAGGCACTGAAGATGCATTGTGTACTATATTGTTTTCCCAGCTCTCCCCCAAAGCACGGCATGTTCTGCTCCCCAAGCCATCAATGTTTTTGACAGAACATTTTGAATTATCAGGGAGGAGACTTAAAATGCTAGCACAAGCATCTACCTCATATGCTGAGGCAGGAGAAAAGGAATGCATAATCCTTTCCTTGAGTTCTTTAAAGAAAGGAGAGGATGGTTCTTGTCCTGGTGACAAATAAGCAAACCACTTGGGGTGAACATGATGAGGCTGTGATGTGTTGTTTGGAACAGCTGACTCAGGAGATGATGTGGAGAAAGTAGAAAGGCTCGATGTTGTTCCAACTGAGCTGGTGGAGTCTGAAATGTATATAAAAGAAAAACGCATAATGTTATATAGTATTTGCCAAAAGAAGAATATCCTGTTCAATACTCCCAAAAGGCTGAATGAAAATAAAGTACCTTTGTGTAAAGAGAATGTGTTCAACTAGATGAGAATAAAGCATGGCCTTTGATACACAGAGAAATCTGAAGTTTCAGAAAGTTTTTTTAAACCTACATATACCAGATGATGGTCCTTCCAGATGGAGCTTGCCAATTTACATTATGAGATATACAAGCTGAAGAAACAGATTTGGGAATTTCCCTGAAATAGTAAGAGGATGCTGGCAATAGATATGACTAGAACTGATCAGGCCTTGCATCCCTACTTTTTTCCTAGCTTAATTCCCCATAGCAGGCTAGGCCCTGGCCTGATTCTGCTGGCGTTGAAGCAAGAAACTGACAGTAGAATTATCAGTAAATAGAAGAGGAAATTCTTCACTAATGTGAGTATCTGCGTATCACAGCAAGAGTTTTGCTCTTCTCTGGGATTATGCAAATTAGCTGGCTTTGTTTGTTGAACAGTCTTTAGAACTTAAAGCACAAGTTTTCTTTGAAGTCTGATTTCACAAACAGAGAAAGAGAGTTTCTATCACCTCTCAGCAACATTAATGTGCAGTTTTCAAGACCAATTAATGCCTACCTCTGGCCTGAGGAGAGAATCATGCTAACAACTGAGGCAAGTGCTTAGAAAGCTGCAAGGAACTAACTGACTAGCCTGAACCACTTTGTAAAATTCAGCCTCCCACCCATTCACTCCCACTATGCCACTAGCAAGGAAACTTAAGATCTAAACCTGTGGGTTCTTATTCTTTGTGTATAAGAACTCAGCTTCCTTCAGGAAGCCCGTTACTGCTTGACACGTGAACCTTCAGAATATTTTTCACTGTGTAAAATAAAAATAAAAATGGAAGAATATTTCAACTCCTTTAATTCCAAGTCTTCACTTTATGGGATCTAGTAACTATAAAAAAAACTGGCATTTTCTGTTTACAGAATTTTGTTTGTATCAGAAGAAAACAAATAGAGGGAACCTGTTAGTATGCTGCACTTTATAAAAGTGCATGTTAAAAAATTCAAAATGTTATGCAATTGGTAAAATGAATATGGACATTTCAATCTAAAGCCACCAGTTTCATATAAATAATTGCTTAGATGGAGGTGACTGTAAGATACTAGTGTGGTAGGGTACAAGGCTTGAACTAGTACCAGAGATACCAATGTTTCAGTTCATCTTCAGCCATGTAGCTCAAATAAATTAATTGCTATCTGTCTGTGTACCCCTCATAGGCTTGCTTGTTAGGGCAGCAACAAGCAAACTGTGTGGGTAGATGGCATGAAGTTAAGGACAAGGATGACTATAATGACAGTGACAATGATACTGATAAACTTTTGTTTATTAAACTAAAGCAAAAATTCATCTGCAGTCTTTTCCCAATTACTTGTAAAAACATTTTCTCCTCTTGGTGTTATTAATCACAGAATCAAGAGTTATAGTCTGAAAACTTTACTCTTCTAGTTTGTCAGTAGACGTAATCTATATAACCATCAGTATATAGGATTTACAGATCCAAGGCTGCAATGATGGGAGAAACTACATGTGATGGATTTTTTCTTTCTAAGGGTGATTCAGGATGTGATCACATGGGTTGAGATCAGTTAGTTCACTGCTTTTTCAGGTACTGCATGACATACAAGCAATTACAAATCAACACATCCTTTATCCATGCCTACTGTACCTTTTTGGGTCCTCATTGGGGCTACAGGTTTTTTGGGGCTTTGGGGGGGGGCTTTGGGTTGTGGGTAAGATCCCTCCATTTTGATTCAGTTCCACCATGTATGATTGCCAGAACTGAACTGTCCTCATTGGGGCTACAGGTTTTTTGGGGGCTTGGGGGGGGCTTTGGGTTGTGGGCGAGATCCCTCCATTTTGATTCATTTCCAGCATGTGTGATTGCCAGAACTGAACCAAAGTGACCAACTTAAGCTGTCACTTTTTGCTCAAGTTATTTCAGGATCTAATCAGTTACTAGGAAATTGAAAGTTTTTACTCTCTCACAAGGGAGAAACAGAAAAGGATGCAAAGAACTGTTGTCTTTTTAAGGCCTTTGAATCCAGCACTGAATTGGTTGCTCAGCAAGTCAATTTGGTGTTATGCTAGTTTGAAGTACTTTTGAAAAAGGCAGATTAGGGTTACCATGATTGGAAATAGGGAGGAGAGGAAATTGAGAGAGGCAAAGAACCAACTCTCCCATTGGTGCAGGCAGGCAGCAGTGATTACCTTGGTCCTTGGTCCAGTGGAACATGAAGGCAGCTCCAAGTTGTGGCTGAAGCATGTGCATTTCCCCTCCCCTCCACTGGGTCTTGAACCTACCTGGTGGTAGACTGGAGATGGGTAAAGTAGCTCTCAGTTGCCCTACACTCATATATGCACTGTGGGGCTAGCAAGAGACTAGTTTAGTGCTGCTGGGAAGAAGGTGAAGAGGAGGAGGAGGAGGAGGAGTGGGGCAGTGGCTGGAAGATGCATGTGGCAGCCAGTGCTACAGGGAACCATCTGGCCAGCATCCCCATCCCTCCACCTGGACAGTCCACAGAAGCCCTCTCTTCCTTCTTCTCTTCCTCCACTACCAGGTTAGCAGAAGGTGTTGTGGTGAACAGGCTCTGCAGAGACCTGAAGGGGGGCGGGTTAACATAGCTGTACTAGCCCCACGGTCCATTTCTTGCCCCCTTTCTTTCATTTTTGTATAGCTAAGAGGAACTACAAACATCACCACTACCCAGTCTATTTCCCATCCCACCTTAGGGAATTGGACTTGTGAAAAAGTTTTTGTTGTTGTTGTTTCTTTTCTCTTCCCCACTTTCTTTTTTCTTTCCATTTAAAGGGAGGAATGGGCTAAATAGCATTGCTTGAGTTCTGTTGGGGTTTCCTGCCTCCAAATTACCCAATCCTTGTATGTGGATGCAAGGATAATCCCAAATGGGATACCTCACCTCTGTGACCTTAAGTAACCCTATTCAATCCAATCCAGCCTGATCCAATTTGTGCTGCACAAGAGGGTAGCTTGTGATGGAAATGCAGAGAATACTAACTTTCAGAGTGGTCGTGAATGGGTCTTAGCAGAAAGCAAGATAAGAAAAAAGTAGTCGACATTCCCACCACTGCACACCACATTTCTGGTCTGGATCTCTGCACACATACACACACACTTAACACATCACCACAGTTTGGAAAGACTGATGCAGACTAGGTTGTGTTTGTCTTGACTTTACTTATAAATCCTGTGTGTGAGGACTCCAGCTTTTCCCACCAGCACTAAACTCACTTAAAATGCACAAACTGTATTTTCAAACATGTAACTGTATTTTCAAATACTTTTTCCTAAAACAAAGAGGTCTTCTACAATCTCCATGCCACTCCATTAAGGTTCACCTTGTACCGAGGTTCACCTTCTATGTATTGAAGCTTCCACAAAGTGCCATTTAATCTCTCCATAATAATGTTCATCGGGGCTCCATTTAAGCAGCATAAGTGTTTTATCAGCTATACAAACAGACTGCCATGAAAGTAATTACTAGAAGCTGAAGACAGGCATAGCCACAATATCTTAATAGCTAGACAGAACGAAAGCCAGCTTCCTGAACAGTGTCAGAAAAACATTATATGTCTTGCATTAATTACAAAAACAAGAACATAAGTGGAAAAGGTAGAGAGTAGTCATGTTTTTATAAGAGATACGGAAGTTTGGCCTTGGAGTTCAGAATGAAGCAGGACAAAGGCTAATAGAGTTTTGTCAAGAGAATAAGCTGGTCATCACAAACACTCTTTTCCAACAACACAAGAGGCGACTCTATACATGGAAATCACCAGATGGGCAACATCGAAATCAGATTGATTATATTCTCTGCAGCCAAAGATGGAGAAGCTCTATACAGTCAGCAAAAACAAGACCTGGAGCTGACTGCGGTTCTGATCATCAGCTTCTCATAGCAAAATTCAAGCTTAGACTGAAGAGATTAGGAAAAACCACTGGGCCACTCAGGTATAATCTAAACCAAATCCCTTATGAATACACAGTGGAAGTAAAGAACAGATTTAAGGAACTAGATTTGGTGGACAGAGTGCCTGAAGAACTTTGGATAGAGGCTCGTAACATTGTCCAGGAGGCAGCAACGAAAACCATCCCAAAGAAAAGGAAATGCAAGAAAGCAAAGTGGCTGTCCAACGAGGCCTTAGAAATAGCAGAGAGGAGAAGGGAAGCAAAATGCAAGGGAGATAGGGAAAGTTACGGAAGTCACAAGCTCACCTGGCCTCGGGGCAGGATGACCGCTCATGTCAGCTGGTATTAAGTAGTGGAGGTTTTGCAGGCTAGCTTTTGTAGGCTCACAAAACTGTTCAGAAGTTGATGCTGATTTTGTGGGGTTTGTTACATTGTCTCCCAAAGGATCAAAAGCTTGAAATGTTGGAGACTTGTAGATTGTCTCAACAGAGGCTGCAGCGTGACCACAAACCAAATCTAGTTTAGGAGTAAGCTGTTTGCTGGTAGTGACAGATTCCTCTGGGTTTGATGACCAAACACCGTACAAAGTTGCTGCAACTGTGTGGGTATGTACACTTGACCGCCTCCTAGGAGGTGATTTCAGCATATCAATGGAAAGGACAGAACTCTTTGATTTCCTTCCTGAATCCCACTTTTGTTGAGGTAAAGAATTTCTTTCAGAAGGAGTCAAAGCACAACCTGCAACACAACAAAATGTATGTCATGGAAAGTAACTATTCTTCATTTGGCAGTTTCATAGCTATATTCCACTTTATCACCCAATGCCCTCAGAATGACTTACAGTCAAGAAAACCATTCCCTTAAACATGTGTGTGTTCTGTGCCATCAAGTTGAAACTGATTTACAGTGAGTCTAATAGGGCTTTCAAGGTAAGTGAGATATTTAAGGAATTGTTTTACCACACTCCCTCAGTGATTCTCCATGGCTGAGTGGGGATTTGAACCTTGTTCTTCAGAATCCTAATCCATCACTGTATCGACTACATCACACTGGGAATCAGTATCCCCTTAAATACAAGAATAGAAAGAAAGAAAGAAAAACCCCTTTATAATAGCTCATGTAAGCAGTAAACAAGAGGAACAAGGCCAGCATAGAAAAGTCCAGACAATATCAACAAAACTTTAGAAAAGTAGTTAGAAGGGATTTAGTGCTACAAAAATCAATTAAAGTGTGAAACATATTAAGTAAAAACAAAATGAGAAAATAAGGTATAATGTTCAGATTTCAGACACACTGTTTGAGAGGCATACTGAGGTAGTATAGTGGACTGTGTGTTATGTTAGGACCTAAGTCAATTGGGTTCAATTTCTTATTAAGTGATAATACACCAGTTACTTTTTCCCACCTCAGAGAGCTTTTTCCCTGTGAGATTAAACTAGGAAAAACCTCTGAAAGCAGCCCTGCATTTCAAGGAATAAAGATGTGACATAAAATGTTTAAAAAATCCAGAATATAATAAATAACTTGAAATGAATGGGACATCTGCATAACAATTAAACGGTCACACTAAACATAGTGATTTTGATAGCTTTTAAAGAATAATATTAAATGTTAGAAAGATCAGACATAAGCTCCTCTAATAGAGACACATATGTTAGTGTAAAGAGGGACACACCCTGTAAAATACTGGGGAAAGTTGAAAGTGTCGGTGCAGACATTCTTGTCTTTCATCCAATCACAAAAAACTTTCTTAGATTTTAGAATGAAAGGAAACATTTGAAGGGAATCTATCTTATTGCCGTGTGGGAAAGAAAACACAGGCCCATTGATTTCATTCTAAATCCTACAGTTTCAAGCTAAATCCTACTGTTAGTCCCAACTACAGTGGACCTCTTGAATGAATAAGACTAATTAAGCCTACACTTATGTAAGAATTTATAAACAGAGGTATACTGTTTATAAAATTTGTAGAAGCATAGAGATAAAAATATCAAAACATCAACAGAATAATCTCTTTATTATTAAAGATGCCAGATAATTTTCTAAGACTCTTTTTCCAGATTGCTCCTATGTTAAACCAGTGTTTCCCAACATCTTTTGAGACACAACCCTCTTTTATAATTGCCAAGTAATGTGCAACCCTCTGCCACATTTCTATAAAAAGGCATTTTAATGGGGGTAAAGGAAACACATTAAAAATAGATTTTTCAGAAGATAATTCTAACCTAATATTTAATGTTATGGCTGTACTTTCATCTGGACAACCAACTTTAAAATTCACAGCTGAATGTTTGTTAAAGCCACACTCCAGGTAACAGTCCCTTAACATGGTGGTCCCAAACCTTGGGTCTCCAGATGTTCTTGGACTACAACTCCCAGAAGCCTTCACCACCACCTCTGCTGGCCAGGATTTCTGTGAATTGAAGTCCAAGAACACCTGGAGGCCCAAGGCTGGGGACCACTGCCTTAACAGGCTCCGGGAGGTGGAGGTAACAAGAGTGGGTTAAAATTCTCGGATCCTGAGAAAGTACGTTGCCAGCAGTCTCAAATTCTCTTCATGAAATGTGACAATAAAATATGTATGGTTATAGATACTACTTGAATGTTTGTTTGTTTGTTTAACTTATATGCCGCCCACTCTACCCAAAGGTCTCTAGGCAGCTTACAACAATTAAAATACAATGAAAATACAATAAAAAGATAAAACAATTAAAATAGATACTCTAAAAATTACCATCAGGACCCACAGTTGATATTTCAATTAAAAGCCTTCTGGAACAGGAGGAACCTAATGGCAACAGTTAAGCAAACAATCCAACTATGATAATAAAAACTGCTCTGCTGCTATTTGGAATATCATTGGGTGTGCAGCTTTCCCAGCAGAACTTGAATTTGACTTTAAAAACTTTATTACTTCAAGTTTGGCTTCATGAGACTAGTCATAATCAATCTGTGTAACTGCACTTAAATATCTGTAATTATGAGCTATAACAATATTGTATTCAAATTTGTCTTGCTGAAGCTGAACACTGATTTAGTGAACGTAATACTGTACAGCCTTTAATGGCTATCTGTCCCATTTAAATGCTAATCAACTAGAAGGGTTTTCTTCTCAGAAATCATCATATGAATTTTATTCAGCAGCTTATTATACAGTACAAATTTCTGACAGGGAAAGAATTCTCAGAAATGATCAGGAATTAGGCTATGTGCAAGCACAGCAGGGAGGAGGGAGGAATGACAGCTGGATGTGTCTGACATTAAAGATTTGTAGCCTTGATTTCCCGCCTGACCTAAGCATCGGGTTCAAGGAGCTGCATGAAACCAATTGTTTGCTTGGGAGACACAGAAGGCTGCCCCTAATGGGTTTGGTTTATTATTTCCCATCAGTTTCCAGACTCTGGGATCAGGAGGGAGCAAAACCCAGAGACATAACTATCCTATTCACTGAAAACCTCTCCTCCAATCTTTTCTGAAGGCTTTTGCTTTGACAAAGCGGCATTTGCAAAGGAATGCAAAGCATAGCATTATATATATTTTTATATATCCTATTCACTGAAAACCTCTCCTCCAAACTTTTCTGAAGGCTTTTGCTTTGACAAAGGGGCATTTCCAAAGGAACGCAAAGCATAGCATCCCTCTCTCAAATAAATAAATAAATAAAAATAAATAGCATCCCTCTGAGCTTCTCCCTTTTTCAGTCTCAGGGGAGGGAAGTATAGAAATCAACAGAGACAGTAGAAAGTAGCCTGGAAACACACTCACACCTTCATCTGTCCCCTTTATTCCATGAAGAGACTCAGGTTTAAGTTAATACACCACGAAGATGTTGAGTCACGCAAAATGAAAACCTAATTTTCTGAATATTGGGAAGGGAAGAGGGATATTGGTGACTACATATTTCCCTTGATGCATCTTTCTGGGTAGCTTCATACACTGAATAGGTATTTCATTAAGCCACCTGAAATTTCTTTCTCAGCTAATCAATGATATCTATACAAATGAAACTTTAATTGTGGCTAACTCTATCTAAATCTGCTTGGAAAAGTAGCTTTTGAAGTCTCTCCCTAGTGCTCGGTGGCTATAGGTCTCATAGTCAAGCACATCAAAATATTTGTGTACATTATTTGTATAGAGGCCAGATTCTTCTTCAGAAAGAAGTAAGGCAGTGGCATATGTTGTGTCAATGCCATGGTATATAGAGAAGACAGTATGGAAATCTTCCAGTTGTTCTCCAGCAGTGCAGAACCTCAACTGCTATCCCACATTGGATGCCAACACTTGTCCCAAATGGATTCAACACAGCTCCAACAGCCAAGTTGCAACTATCCAGGAAAATCTGTTGGGTTGGGCTGCACAGAAGATATGATTAATATACACAGTCATGAAAAGCTGATAATGCTGAGCTGTGATTGCTGCTACATGCCATGACTCAGCCTGGCCTACACACCTCACTCATTTTACTCCATGCTTGCCTCTGTGAACACAGAGAATGGAATGGAAGGAAAGGGCAATTGTTAATTCATATCTGCAATATGGCAAACTTGTTATCTACTTCTGCATCCGATAGGTTAAAATGCTATTTGAGTATGGTCCTTCCCTGCGTGGATATAGTGCCTACACATGGAAGAATTCTACAAGACATTGGAATGTAATGGAAGTATAACTCCCATGTATCATCAAATCCAATTATGTTCAGTCAAAGATCTTAATCCAGTTGTTAGTCCCAAACAGAGCAGAACCACTGAACAAATTGATTTAGACCGAGTATTTCTGTTGTTCACATGAACAGGAAGAGATTGTTTGCTTGGACTTTGCTTTATTTGCTTGGACTTTGCTTTGCCGACCCTTTTCCAAATGCTGTTCCCACAAGGAATAGGACTGCATTCTCTATATTTGTGACCTCTCTTCCCCTTAAATAGTATAACTTTACCTTTAAGTGCAGTTACACAATCTTTTTTTTTTTAAATAATAATCATTATGGATGCAGCCACTTAATTACCCCTTCTCTGAACAGAGCTGGCATTATGTGTCCTACCTGAAACATATAGAGGAGGAAATGAGAGCAGAACAATCCAAATGTGTTCTGGATTTGTTGTCATTTTTAATGAGATGGTGCCTTTTGGAGCTCTACAATCCTTTCGAAGAGAGTTTTTTTCTGCAATTCTTTCCACACAGAATAGGTCCTAAAAGAGCTGTGAAGCTCAAAATGTACTGGGCCACTTTTTGGAAATGAATATTATCAATTATTCTTTTATTGCAGTGGAATTGTGCAGTGTTTTTGTTGGGCTTATATGAAGATATAAGAGAGAATTGCAAATTTAATTCCATTCTTATAAGAATGGAAGATGGAAGTTATATGCTATAATGTCTCAAAGCTGGCATGAAAACAGAACCTATTCTTTTAAATTTCTAAAAATCAGCAGACTGATTTGTGGTTTGTGTCTGCTGCGGTCTGCTCTTAACTATACTCTGAATTCCTCTGATCTGTCGTCTTTGTCAGTCTTCTTAACCTTTTAAAAATATTGTTGCTGACAAAATAACGGATGTTTTTACAATCTGACACATAATCTGAAAATTCTCTAGAGAGTAGGCTGGTGACCCTCTTTGGTTGTAACAGTCTATGGATAATGATTGACTTATAGTATAGCTACTTGTCTTTTTGAAAGAAGCTACATAAGAATAAAATGCCAACAAAATACTTGAAATTATATCTTTGAAGCTTAAAGAAAATCAAAGGTGCCCTACAAATATCAACAGGAGATAAGAGTAAGTGTACCGCATAAGAAATGCATTTAAATTGGTGGGTTCCAATGCAACCCAAGTTTAATTTGTGATAATTAGGAGCTATGCTTGAATATTTGCTGAGACTATTTCCTTGGAGAGAACAGCAACCCAGAAACCAGAATTTGAGGTGGGCCACATTTTATTCCCAGAACCTCTCAGAGACGTGATACTGGACTGGGTGAACCACAGGACACAGCTTACAACACATGCACCCCAGTAGCTCAGTACGAGAAAGAAGAAGCCATGCGTCTAAGAAGGAGAGGTCATGTGGTGAATACCGTTTCCCCAAAAATAAGCCCTAACCTGAAAATAAGCCCTAGTATGATTTTTCAGGATGTTTGTAATATAAGCCTTAGTTAAGTGAAACTCCACCCTCCACCATTGTGCAGCAACCAGAAGATGATATGACTGTACAGTATTTGAATAAATGTAGATTGTTGCACATGTCTTGCAAAATGCGTTTTCCCACAGGAATGCATTAAAATCTAATTAATGCATTCCTGTGGGCAAAAAAATTGTGCAGCAACCAGAAGATGTCATGACTGTAAAATAAAACATCCCCTGAAAATGCATTTTTGGAGCAAAAATTAATATAAGACCCTGTCTTATTTTCCGGGAAACACAGTAAATATAACAAGAAAAAACAAAATTTAACTCTTAAAGAGTTTGGTAAATGATGCCCCATTGATTTCAAATGCATCCTTGAAGTAAAAAAGAAGGAAATGCTTTCATGCATCTTTCACAGGATTGATCTCTCTTCAGCTGAACAAGCAATTACTCCTAAAGGAACAACAATGGAAATTAACTATGGCCAGGAATCCTGCAAACTAACAACATATTGACTACTGTTTAGTTCAGTATCTATTTCCATTCAATCCTCTACAGTGTTTTTTTTTCTGAGAATAATATGTTTCTGAGATCATCAGACACAAGACTAAGTGCCTCAAATTAATAAACTGACATTTCTGCTAGCAAACCGTCTCTACAAAGGCAGTATTGCTATTGAATTCCAATGAAACTCACCAGTCTGCCCCTCTTGGCTCATTTGGAGACTGGCAAAATCTTCTTATTTAAAAAGCCTCTCAGATGCCTGGCTAAAGATCAGGGCAAGGTTAATAATCTTGTTAAAGTTTACTGCTGAATTTGGCTATGTTTTTATTGTTTTATGATGTAATGCTGTTTGAAACAATGTTATTGTTTTATGTGAATTGACTTGAGAGATGGAAGTGTGTCATCAATTTTAATAAGCAAACTGGTAGTACTGCAAGATACTAGACCATCCAAATGTAGCCTTTTATGTGTGGAGACTAATCTGGTGTTTTTCTCTTGCACTGAAGGGGGTTCAGTCCCAGTGACCCAGCAGTTTGACGATGGAGGGTCCCTGATCACAATGGAGAGTTCTCATGTCCACTGTAAGTAGAAATTTTCAAATTTTGTAGCTTTAGATGTCAAGAAATTAACAGGCTTGGATACTTTGCATGTACCTACCCTGAACAAGGTTGCACTTACTAAAGTGTTTTCTACCTTTATGAAATAAATATGCTAACTTCATGGTTTCACATTTTTATTTTTCTGATTTCATTTGTACATATTCCCTACACTTCTGTAGTCCTACATATCTCCATCCAGGAAAAGAGAACTTTATGGTTTTACAGTTTCTCTCTAAGACTTGAACAGAAACATTGCATACTAAGAAGAAAAACAGTAGAAACACTGGCATAATATTTCAGAAGAACTCACTGCAAAGACAGTTCTTAGGATTCAAATATTCAGTCTTGAATCTCCAAATGTTCCAAATGTATTGGGTACTAGTTGGCAAGATAATATAATATTCTGGCAAGGCAGAATGCTATTAGCTGTCTAGATAACTCAGTGAGATAGAGCGTCTGGGCAGAATTTGATCTCCCACTGTGCCTTGTAAGAGAAGAGCTGCCTTCTGTGGTCTGGGGTAAGTAGCATAGTGTCAGAGCGCCCCAAAGAAGAGGATAGTAGACCACTTCTGAGTACATTGTACCTAGAAAACCCTTGAAAGAGTCACTGTAAGTTGGAATGAACTTGACAGCATATAATTATTTTTATTACAATGGTTTTAAGTCCCTTTATTAGTTTGATGATTCAATTACATGTGTGTGTCATGATTTTAAAGATAAAAACAGGACGGTTATGAAAGATGATAGCTGCAGTTGGGGTGAGGAGCTAATACATTTCGATCACATGGCATGTTAGCACTGAAAATCAGCCCCTTCTCAATTGCTGTTTAACCCTGCAGTTGCAACTTGCTACAAAATATCCTATTTTTACATACGTGCATTCAAGATGTTACAGACTGGTGCCTTTGTACTTGTTTCTGATTCCTCCTTAGAGCCTTTACTAGAAAATGTTGATTGTGCAGCAGTTGGGGAAGATTCATCCTCACTGAAGACTATCAGGTCCTGATGTAAAAGAAAAATAGAAAGCACCTAGTAGTAACAAGTCTAGATCCAAAAGAACTCTCAAAGTATGAACATTGAGAAGAGTCAAAATACTGTAGGCTGATATTTTGCTGTGGGCCAAGAGTCTTCCTAACCAATAGCATCTCTAGCCGTATTGAGAAATTATTAAAGCATGTGGAGACCACGTGTCATGAAAGAAAGTGTGCTAAGCACACCTCCTCCCATGTCACTTTCATCACAGCAAGTGGCTATCTCAAAAGGGAAAGTGCTCTGTCCATGTAGGCCCTCCATACTCCAGTTCCCAGAATGCTCCAATAATTCCTCAGGCAGAATTCTGGGAGTTCTGGCCCACAGATCTACATACCGTATATAGACACATACATTTCACTCACCTGGACCAGAGTCTATCTCCAAGAATACTTAGCTGTCTGAGGCCTGTGTTTGCTGTTGTTAATGTACAAAAAAGGAAGTTATTATGGGGTTTTCTGAGTGTCATAGGTCTTTAGGAAGCACCATTTATAGAATTTAAAGGGCAGGTAGACAATAACTCACAGGAAGCACTTCCTTTTGTAAAAACGTGGCCTCTGCTTGTTTCACTCAAACAAAGGGCTCATGCTACGTTCTCTCGTTTCTGCTACCACCAGTTGACCTCTGTTGGCACCCTTTAATTAGAAAGATTGAGGTCCAAGCTGAGTATAAAGTTGGACAACACAGGTTTATTGATTACAGTTCGCTTAAACAGGTTCTTCACAGACTTTAATGTATTCATTAGATTAGAAATAACTTGTTTCACACTTAACTCTCTTAGCCCTTTATAAGTTCCACACTTCTAACTCTGCCACACTCTCTAACTAATACAGACTAACTTCTACTTCAGACTCTCATCTCTGACTCTCACTGACTGAACTACAGTAACTAAACTCAAACTCACCCCTCCCTTTTGGTTTCTCTGGCTCCGCCTCCCAACAGCTCCCATTGGTGTATGCAAAAAACCTCCTACATGAGCCAAAGCAGGGTGATCCGCCACTGGAACAAAGGCCTGAGACAATCAAGCAGTCTTGGAGATAGGCTCTGGTTTACATGAGTAAAATGTAGGTGTCTGTAGGTATAGGTTTGTGGCTGGAATTTCCAGAATTCTACCTGGGGAATTGTTGAAGAATTCTGGGAGTTGAAGTCTGGAAAAAAAAATGGCATATTTCTAGCCAGAGCTCCTCCCCTGGTTTTTTCATTCTAATAATGGGAGCTTGCATGAATCATGCTCATTTCAGAGAACTAGCTTCTGGGAAGCAAGAAAAAGGCGGGGAGTGCTATCGCATACCTCTTCATTGTATGTGCTCTCTATACACTTTAGTAACAACTGAATAGGACTTTAGGTTTTGTCCTGATAATTTCATTTTGTTCACTTTCTTTCAGTACATCACTGATTCCAAACAATTTCAAGCCCTCTCCAGCATATAATATAAAGCAGGTATAAAACTGGGTTTCATCAGCAATGCATACAAAGAAAGCCCACTCATCATCATCAGTTTTACAGTTGCATAAAACAAAGCAACATCTGGAATAGCTAAATCATTTTTTTTTCCTTTTACATTTAGATGTCTACTCTAAATCTGTTCCCCTCCCAAATAACACAAGCCAAACTGTAGTAAGACAGCTATTCCAAACGTTCTTTTCCAGACAGCCACATACTTTCCCAGGGTCAAGTAACTTTTTACACTGAAAGACTACTTCAAAAATACAAAAGGCCCACATTGCCTATTTCTCTAGACTGTTTTGAAGAAAATGATGAGCAAATAGGGGCTTTTGCTGTTAACCGACTTATATAGTACAGTACTAACAGTTTGAAACTGCAATGCACTTCTTGACTCATAACAATTGAAAAACTATAAAGATTTTAAGCTCCCAGAAGGACAATATTCTTGTGTCCTCAGCTGGGGAGAAAGAGACAGAAATAAAACATACCAAAATATTTCACAGGAATTGACAGCAAATAGGTACAAGAAATAAGGTCTAAATATGTCAGATTTAAAAACATGGTTTCTATGTATTCTTGGCTTGCCAAAGTAAAAAAAGGTTATGCTGATTTCTCTCCGAAGGATGAACCATTGTTTCTCATTTTTTTAGTTCTTCAAAGAGCATAAGAGGTTTCGTACTATGTTTAGTCTAGCAACCCAAAACATGTGTTTATTCAATGAATACATTTGCAAAATCCCTTCTTGCCCATTGCATATGTTACATATATATATATATATATGTACATGTGAAAAGTCATCTGTGAAACTGTTCTTGGTCTGCTCCTAACATATACTTTATGTTGTGGCCAGACATCATGTTGATTGGCTGTTTTAAAATATAACAATTACAAGGTTTTCTGTGTTCCATGATGTCTCACATGCTCAAGTACTACAATTCAGGAATAAAATTATTTCATTTGAAGCAGATGTTATCTTGTTGTTTTTCCACTTTTTGTAGTAAGTGTTTAAAATGGTGGGGAATGTATATATAGTATTCTTATATTTAGAGATTAATGAATGTACAGTAACACTTGAAGCAAGCTAATGAACTAAGACCTGTTCTACAAAAGATAAACATTCTAGACAAACAACAGGTGTCAGGAAAAGTGCTTGAACTTGTAAAAAAAAAAGAGTTTAACCACAGGTACAGCAAAGGGCAAACTGTATTCCGTGATGTTTAAACCACAACTTTTGCAGCAAACCTTGCAGCTTGCAGCTGAATCAAGTACTGTATACTGACGGCAAAAGCAACATGCTAATTTTTATTGTTTGGATATTTGAGCCAAGGGAAATAGCTTGAGTGAAATCAGAATTCTCAAAACTGTCCTGCCTTTTTTGCCATGTCAAATAACCCCAAGAAGTTGGCATCACTCTGATGTAAGTAATAATCCTGATTTGACATATGGATGCTGGCACAGTGTCAGACTGAAATACAATCATATGATCTTTTAGGATGTGTTTGAAGTAGATTAAAACAGATACACAGAAGGAGAGAGACATCACTCAAGAGAAAGAGGATGGAAGGTAAAAGGAGAAAGCTGTACAGAACCCACCACCACCCTTTATTTAAAAGAACAAAAAAAAGTTCTCAAGTTTAGGGATATAGGGACACATATTACGGTACTCACTTCAGGGCATATGCCACTCCAGTATTACTCTTGTCTCTGCATTAATTGCTTTCCCAGTTCAGTCTATAGAAAATATGCTGATTATCTCTGTGTAACAAGGAAGCTCATGATATTTATATGAGGGTCTGGCTGATGCATTAAATGTTCAAGTAACTGTAATTATTAAAAGATCAAAGCTAAGAAAATGAGCAGAAGTTTTAAAGAAGTTTTGTATTCAGGTCAGTATTTGTTCTACTGAGTCAAATCACACAGTGCTGCTGTCTTTGTCATAGAAGAAAGTGATTATTAATATTTTTAGCAGAATCAGCTCAAACTAGCTTAAAATGCTTAATTACCATATGTGGTAATAGATTCAGAAAAGCATACAAGACAAATCCTATGTTACGGTAATCAGTAGGAAAACTAACCATTTTAAAATTTGTTAACAAATCAATGGCACAATTCTAATGAGCCAAAATAACTAAGGGTTGGCTGAGTGAACGCTAAGTAGCTAAGATTGTGCTGGACCTAGACCACTCCCAGTCTAAATAAAATGGAAATTACTTAAGACTATCCTGACCCATTTGGTGTTGTGGACAGAGTGACAAACTAGGACTCAAGAAACCTGGGTTAAAATCCCCATTTTGCCATGGAAACTTGCAATAGGATGGCACTTGTAAAATCACTCCTTAAATATCTCACATACCTTGCAAACTGTTGTAAGTTTGATGCAACCTGATTGCACAAAACCCCTTCACATGCCATCTTGACCCAACATCACTTTCTGATCACAGAGATGTTGTGAGAATGGACATTGTAAGCAGGGTCTAGATCTGGAATAACTCAGCTGTTCTTCCTCTCTATCTGTTTTTCAGTTCTTTGGCCAGCTGATCTCAGCCAGCACAGGAGTTGTGGCACTATGTGCAAAAATTCTACCCATTCCAAGCTAATACACCTGGTGTATCTTCAAGTTTGGATCACATTGCCTGTCATTTTGTGTCCTCTCTGGGCAAAAGATCTCACTGATACAATTATTCGTCCCTGCATAATTATATTGGTATACAGTAATTATTTGTACCTCTTATTAAACTTGTGCTATATATATTCTGGGATTTGTTTCCACAGAAGTTTGCAGTTGCCCTTGATGAGTAGTCATTGGAAAGAAATAAAGCACAAATAGTGGCACTTGTAAAATACATTTACTATTTGAACAATACATTTACTACTCAATAACGAATTTAATTATTTTCTTATTAGGATATAGATAGTATATCTACAAGCAATGGGGAATATGTTTATGAAAAAATAAAGCTAAAGGTTGGTAGGTATTTAGGTATTAGCACAGCGATTAAGGGATCAACACTGTGAATTTTGACTAGGAAGCGGGGGTGTTGAGGGAACATAATATTAGACTTGAGGGAAAACAAGGATTAACACTAACATATTTACTGGACTGAGAGAATCATATTTGATATTTTACAGACAGAACAGGATAAGAAAAGTAATTTTCTTCCTCCTTGTTATTTATACATCATTATATCCAAAGATCATTCCTAAACCAGTTACTTCATCACCCCTCAGTGTTTGCATATAGGTACGTACATAATTAAATGATACTGTAGAAGATGTCATTTAATTGTTTAAGTGTTACAGCTTCTACTAGGAAAAAAGCAAAGTGCACAAGGACAGGGAATTAATGAGAGCCATTGCTATTTTTAAATTGGGGAAGGGGGTTGCAGAAAAAAAAAACATGAACAAGGCAGCTGAACAGATGGGTATATTTAGAAGAAGGTCTGTATCAAGGGAAAAACAGACTGCTTACCTATAAGGTTCGTTCTTCAAGCAGTCATTTGTGCATTCACTAATATGGATCTGTACT